CTCTAACAGCTGCAGATTTCTAGTTTGGACAATCAAAACCCACTGTAAGTAGAAATGGCTGAGTTAAAATCGGTCTATGCGTGGTTTAATATGCGAAAATAAATTTGTGTGCTTTACATTGGCTTGATGCATTTAATTTAATTCCTATTTTATAGCAATTCAACATGTATTTTGTGTAACACTGGTTGGACCAGTTGAAACATCAATAGATGGGTGAATCTGCTTCCATAAAATCTATAGACGTCAGATGACTGATACAAATGTTTACTTTTATTCCTTATGAAATTTTTCTTCTTAAAACTTTTTACTGGAGGAATCCTTCCTGAGCATGTTGAGAGGCAAATGTTCACTTCTGGGACAGAAAAAGCAACAACATTGTGAAATACTCAATACTGCGATCACACGCTGGTCAAAAAGTTTAGGTTCAGTGACTATTAGTCATGAGGTTTTAAAAGCCTTGCCTCCAAAAAAATCTGAGGTTTAGCGCTTTTGTCTACAGAACAGAAGTGGGAAGAGCAGCCATAAATCACTTCAATATATTTATACTCAAATAGAAGCAAAAAAGTAGCCATCTGGAAAATTATTTAAGGAAGAGTAAAAAAAGTAGTTGGTAAAAAAAAAAAATAATAATAATAAAAATAATATATATATATATATATATATATATATATATAAAGCTTCTCAAGTAATTGGTCTCATTTCAAATTTAAAAAGAATTTAACTATACAGACAAAATATAAAGATGGGAGCAAATTCTGGCAGAACTTGAGTTTTTTGTTTGTTTTTTGTGGGGGAGAGGTTGTTGTTGTTTTTTTTGTTTTGTTTTTTTTAGGGGGGGTGGGGGGGTGTTGTTAAACATTGTTCCACCCTGATTAAATCACACAAATCTCTAAATAGTTCCATGGAAGTGACCACAATATAAACTGATTACTTGCACTCGACTGACCACTGACCATCAATCGTTAAGGAGAGATCGATGCAAAGTCAGTGACTCGATACAGTCAGCTGGGTTTCCTATATAGAAAACGAACTTGGCATAATTGTCATAACTTATTAAATTATATTGTATAATAACTTTATATAATAACTTCGAATCTAACTGTGGCTAGACTTGATATTTTTTATCTTATTTTTTTGTCAACATGTGTAAGTAATTTAGTAAATTTAACACATTACTACTATAATGAAGATTAATCGAATTACTTATTTTGTCCAAAGACGTTCACATCAGCGCGGCTCGGCACATGGACAGCGAAAGGTAAAAGTTTTGCCACTCGGAGTGAACCCAACACATGGTACACGATTACACAGCCAGAAGAGTTGAACATTTTTCAATTTTTGAGTCGTTAGTGTGACACACTCTAACGACAGGAGCTCGAAATCTTCAGTTTAGTTCGATACAATAAAACATTTTCTTAAGCATTTTTCAAAATGTTAATATTTACATTTCGAGTTTACAAAGTTGAGCAAAGTGGTTAATCTTGATTAATGGCAGCACTGAAGTGTGATTAATCAGATTTTTTTTAATCGATTGACACCATTAACAAAAATAAATCAAGAACTGACCAAATTTGAATTAAGGAGGAGAGGTCTTATATAAACTACTGAGTTTGAGGAAAGTCCTACCCTTTCTTTTTCTTTTATTTTTTTATTCTCCTTTTTCTGGGATTTAATTATGTGTTTTTGTACAAGTTAAATAAATATCTAGTTTCAGCTATAAAACCAAACAGCTGATTGCTTACTTTTTTAATAAGGGGGGTTGTGGGGAAAGAACGTATTAACTGGCTGTTTACCGAATATCTCTCTCTGACAATATTTTCGGTTCTTACCTTGACCCCTGCCTTCATTCCAGATGAAGCTGGCCTGTTGCTGGAGCGCCACGCTGCTGCTCATTCTCGTTCCCAGCTGCTGTCAAAGCGGCAACATCCTGGTCATTCCCACTGAGGGAAGCCACTGGCTCAACAACGAGATCCTCCTTAAAGCGCTGCACTCCAGAGGACACAACATCACCATTGCGCGTTCCAGCAAAAGCTGGTACGTCAAGGACAGCTCCCCGTACTACAGCACCTTCACAGTTCCTGTGGAAAGGAGTTTTGACAAGAAGTACACAAGAAGACTCGTAACTGAGTACATCAAATTTCAACGCGGGGCTTCACCTTTGGTCAGTTTTCTCCATGTAACCATGGGGATGATTGATAAAAACGTTGAGGTTCACAGAGCTGTGAGTGAATTTCTTCCAGCCATGTTAGACGACACGGAGTTGATGAGGAGATTAAACCAGAGCAAGTTCGACCTGGTCCTTACTGACCCCTGGTGGGGAAATGGGGCCATTTTGGCAAAATATCTTAATCTTCCTTTAGTTTACAATGTCCGCTGGTTAAATCCTGAAGAAGCTCATTTTGCCGTCGCTCCTTCACCTATATCCTATATTCCTGTCACATTATCTGGCTATACTGATAAAATGAACTTTTTTCAGAGAACCAAAAACATGATTATATATCTGATCACCCAGATCCAGACTACCTCTGTGAGCAAACTGGTATACCAGCCACTGTGTTCCAAATATCTTGGACCTGATGCGGACTTTGATCAGATAAAGTCTGGCGCAGACATCTGGCTGATAAGAACTGATTTTGTGTTTGACTATCCGCGTCCCACCATGCCTAACATTGTGTACATGGGAGGGTTCCACTGTACGCCTGCGAAACCATTACCAAAGGATCTGGAGGACTTTGTGCAGAGTTCTGGAGAGCACGGCGTCATCATCATGTCTTTGGGAACTTTTGTGCCCAGCCTTCCAGACGACATGGCAAATAAGATTGCGGCCTCTTTTGCCGAATTGCCCCAGAAGGTCATCTGGAGCTACAGCGGAAGCAAACCATCCACTCTGGGGAACAACACTTTACTGGTGGACTGGATGCCGCAAAAAGACCTTTTAGGGCATCCAAAGGTGAAGCTGTTTGTGGCTCATGGAGGAACCAACGGAGTCCAAGAAGCTATCTACCACGGAGTCCCAGTGGTGGGTTTGTCCTTGTTTTTTTTTTTTTTGTCCTTGTTTATGACAATCTTCTCCGTCTACAAGACAGAGGGGGAGCAAAGGTTCTCACCCTGACCACAGTGGACAAAGACGACAACTTCCTGAAAGCTGTGAAAGAAGTCCTGAATGAGCCGTCCTACAGAGCGAACATGCAGAGACTCTCCAGACTGCACAGAGACCAGCCAATACAGCCCATAGACAATGCTCTCTTCTGGATAGAGTTTGTAATGAGGAACAAAGGTGCTGCTCACCTGAAAGCACAGTCCCATGGAATGTCCTGGTACATCTACCACTCTGTAGATGTTGCTCTGTTCCTAACAGGGGCAGTGCTGCTCATGCTTCTGACTGCTGTCACGTTTATCAGGTGCTTATGTAAATCGCCGTGCAGGGGAAAGCTAAAACGTGACTAGTGATGGAAGAAACATTAGAAGAACAGCAATCTATTCTTCTACGTTAGTGTCAGGTTGGGTTGAGGAGAAAGATGTCACTTTTCCGTGATACTTCCTCTTTGTACTGTCGAGTCAGATTTTCTGTTCACCAAGATTTAATGATTTGAAACTACTACTTTGGACATCACAGCTAAAGTCATCTCAAAAACCATGTCGTTATTGTTGGATTATAATTATTTTATTTTCTTTGAGAAATTTTAGTTGGGAGTAATGTACTTTATTGCAGCTATATACTATGTTTTTAATGAGTGCCTTTCGTATGATTCTATACAACTTGAATGTTTTTTTTTACTGTGTTTTCAGCTACATTTTTGTATTTGAATAATGAGTATCTTTTTGATTGGTGGGTGGATGTTGCAATTCATCAAAGCTGGATGGATTCCCAGGGTTTTTTGTAGCTATGTATATAGTTAATTTTTACTATTACTAAATGACCAATGACATGAATTTGTTCAACCATCAATCATTTCTTTTGGTGGTGTTAAGAAAATAAATTTAAAGTATGCTAGTTTTAAAACTTAACATGTCTTGATTGAAATAGCCTAATTATAGTTTTAAAAATCAGTAACTTATTCTGGCCTATTGACCTTTATGTTACCTGTAGTTAAAGCAGATGGTTTGCTAAGATCTTTTGAACTGCCTTTTGTCTGTGTGGGAAACAATACAGTAGAAGTTCTAGTTTTTCACACTCATCTGTGAAAAGCCGTAAAACAACAGGAGTTACTGGCTTGAGAGAGGGTCAGAGATAGCTCCTGGTTGGATGAGCAAAGATACGCCTTATTTGAATAAATTAAAGATAAGAATACACCTTTTACTATAAAACTTTCTACACAGAAGTAACAAATTAGATTTGCTCTCGCAATTCTCCAAAGACGTCTTTGCACGTCTTTTCTTTTCTTTCTTTCTTTCCTTCTTATTCTTTCCATTTATGTCAGGTAAATGAATGTATGTCTCTGTTGTTCTCCAGTTTCTGTTGTAATTTTATGTGTTGTCTTCTATTGGATTAAACTGAAATTCTGTGACGTCTGCCCTCATTGTTGTTTTTGTGTGGCTACACGTAGTCCACCGGGAGAACCTGGGATCGAAGGAGATCAAGCCAAAAGAGTTTTCTTAAGAAATATTATAACTAAGTTCTTGTTTCACACTTGTATAGTAGATTTTCAATAATAATAAATAATAATAATTGTGGTTTTTCCAGAGTAATTAATAACTGGGGTAATGGCTCTATAGCAAAAATAAGATTATCAGTGACCTAGATTTTAATTCAGTATTTGAAGAAACACAAAATTAAAAGATTACAAACAAATTGTTAGAGCAATCTGCTCAGGCAATTAAATTTCTCTAATGCTCACATAAATAGATTTACTATTTGCCATTTGGCGTTTTAAAAAGTGATGCATATAATTCTAAATAACCCCAAATTAAGCTGCTACAATAATATAATAGTATCGCAAAAAAAAATCCCATAAAATCTACAACTGGTGAAACTGACTGCGACAAAACAAACGCACAAAAAGCACAGTGAACGCACCATGTGGGGGCGGGGCTTACGTTTGAACGTCTAGCGGGGAAACAGACTCAGATGGAGGAAGTGTTTGTGTGACTGTTAGCTAGCTATGGTTTGAGTTAGTTATGTGGCGCTAACTAGGTTCAAATAAGGCTTTACGGATATATTTGGGGATGCTTGAGGTTGTTACGAAGGACTGTGCTGTAACTTAGCGTCTCTATTTAGTAAATATGAACACCGGTAATGTAGCTGTTAGCTAGGTTGCTATTGTAACTATCACTGTGTCTCATGAGACAACATTCATTTTAAAATGTCCTGTTAAACACGCTGATAGTTGGTGAGATAGTAACACAGTAAAGTCGTGACGTGAACCGTTTGTTGTTTCTTTTATATAACACGAACAGGTCGAGCATTATTTGTCTTTTACAAAAAAAATGCCCATCCGAGCATATTGTACAATATGCTCGGATTTTTTTGACCACGACAGAGATGTATCTGCCATTCACTGTGGACACACTTTTCACTACGAATGGTAAGACGGTTTAAACTGTCCAAATCCGTCAGTATTCTCCAAAAATTTCAGCACATTTTCTTGTGCGTGTGTAAAATATATTTTCCCAATTTCTTCCAGTCTTCTTCAGTGGTTTCAGACCGCTCCTACCAAAACCTGTCCTCAGTGCAGGAAACAGGTACTGTAAGGAAACATCCGCTCACATTAACAAAGAAAACAGCCTGATCTGAACTATGTACTCATGCATATGGATGCATAACTTTCTTCTTCTTTTTCTTCTTCTTCTTCTGTAGGTCAGCACCAGACACATCATCAACAAGCTGTTCTTTGACATTGGAGGAGGCGGGGAAGAAGGTTCTCCAGACCCAGAGAGCCTGCAGGTAAACAAACAGTCCAAGTGAGATTTTTAAAAATTTATTTAAAAAAATGTAACACTTTGGATAAATTTAATCCGTCAGATCAAGGTAAAATTGACAGATTCTGCTCTCTAGAATGTGTTTTTGCATTTCACTCTACTGTGTTCTCTACATGTCTTCCACAGAATGAGGTTGATCGAATGAAGGCACTGCTAAGCTCTAGAGGTGCTCCACACACGCACTTAATTTCCCCTTTAATTTGAAGGGTGCTATGGCCAGCTGATCGACTATCTAATCGTTTTTTGTTTGTTTTTTCAGATCGAGACTGGCGGGAGAAACAGAAGGTGATGGACGGCTTGAAGGACACAGTGAACAAGCAGAGGAGAGACCTGGACGCCATGCGGAAAGAGGTCATGGATAAGGAGATGGTCTGTGTCGCTCTCAAGGTACGGCTTTTTGTTTCGAGGCCGACGCAATGAATCCTCCCCGTGAGACCATAACTGGTTGCCCTGGTAACGTTTGGACGTGTCGACAGAAGCAGATGGTTTATCTGGAGACGCAGCAGAACGAAATTCAGGCAGCGAAGGAGGAGGTCCGCAGACTGAGGGGCAAAATGAAAACCTTTGAAAGGTAACGCTGAGGAACTTAAATGTTCACTTTAGCGAAGTGGGTTTTTTATTTATGTTTTATGTGTCACAAGAAGCAGGACGGATTTATTCTGATGAAATCGTTTTGACTTTAATTACTGACTTGTTGTGAACTGATGATCCAGCTGTTGTCTTCCCCAGCCTGGACATGCTGCTGCAGGGTCAGCGAGGCGAAGTGGAGTCCATGATCACAGATATGGGTGTGAGCCAGGGAGCAGTGGAGCAGCTCTCCATTTACTGCATCTCTCTGAAGAAGTAAGAACCCACTGGTCAGGCTGGATCCTTTGCTTCGCTAGATGGATTTTTGTTGTTGCCGGGGGGTCACTGTCTCCTCATCCATGTCACACATCCTGTTAACGCAACAGAATCTGCTTACGAACAGTAAATAATTATTTATAGCTGTCGGATTTGTCAACATCCAGATACATTTGCCAGTGTACACACTGGAGGCACACCGGTTGGAGTTTTTTGACCGATCACCAATTTTTAAAAAGCCTAAGCTGCTGATTTTTGCTGAAACTGATTTTTAAAATTTTAAATTATTTGTCTTAAAAGTCACTAAATGTAGTGACAGTCGCTAAGTTTATCACCAATAAACGGGCACATACTTTTGAGTGATTTGGTGGTGACATCTGCAGTTAGCTACCTCATATCTGGGAGCGAATAAGTTGTTCAGCCATGGGCTGTCTGGAGAGATTAGGGTGACTCTTGATCCATGGAGTTCAGACACAGTAATCAGCAGTACTTGTAACTAAATACTAGATATCGCATATCTAGAAGGGCAATAAGTTAATTTTATTTCGATTGAAAAAAACCCTGATCAGAATGAATCATTTTTCTTAATTCTGTTTCCTCAAAACATTTTCATCTACTTCCCTGTATTCACAGAGAGTATGACAACCTCAAAGGAAGCCTCAAGTCTTCAAACGACATGTGTGAGAAGCTGAAGAGAGAAGTTCTCTCCTCAAACAGCAAGGTAGCGTCACATCTGGACCTTTAAGTCAAACGCCCCAAAAAATTTCCTGATTGTCAACCGTTTTTTGTTTTTTTGTTGTTGTTTTTAGCTGCAGAAGGCTTCCCTGGAGGCGCTTCAGCTCAAAGAGGAGTTGAAGTCTCTGCAGAAAGACCTGGCCGGCGCTGACAAAGAGATCTCTGTAAGAGCACATCAAACTCACACGCGTACACTTGCGCTATCCGAGGGGCTTGTGCTGATTCCCGCTCGCGTTCTGTCCCCAGAGCCTCAAGAAGAAAGTGGAGTTTCTCCAGAAGACTCTGAGCACGCCGACGCGTGCCAACGAAGCCCTCGGCAGGCTCATCTTCGAAAGGTTCGTTCCCTCAGAGCCTCCTCTGACGTCGAAGCGGTTTCCCGGGAAACTCCGTCAGTCATTCACGCGGGGCTTTTCTCCGCAGCCCAGCGCCTCTGGAGCTGAAGCCCCCCCACCTCCACCAGCCGGCGCACGGAGACGACATCGACCTCAACATGACCTATGACATTGCCACGCCCGACGACGCGTCAAAGAGACCGGCCCAGGTTCCCTCGAAGAAGATGCGGCTGGAGCGACCGGGGTAAGCTCTTTGCGTCGACGGGTTCGGATGACGAGTCAGTCGATTTAAGGCTCAGACGGAAAAACTTGTTTCGTTTCCAGAACGTCTTCGTCGAAACGCGGCGAGAAACTTTCCTCCCTGAGCAAGGTAAGGCCTGAAGCAGTCTCTCTGCAAGACATGTTTCACTGTCACCCGTTGAGCGTAACGCAGTGATTTTCTGCCGTCGGCTCAGAATGAAGATTCAGCGCTTTATCCTTTTTTGAGGAACTCCCTTCTCTTCAGAAAGAAGACTTTTGGAAGCATGTTGGAACCTCAGAAGAAGGCTGGAGTCGTATGTACAACAGAATCAACGTACAAATCTCTGCTTCTCAAAGTATCATCTGTCTTATTTTGTTTTTTTCTTTCTTAGCTCCAAACTGGCTATGATGGATTAGGAGGACGGACTAAATTCATCCAACCTGTATCCTTTTTTCTGTTTTCACTTCTGTGGGAGAGAAAAGTTCAAAATGGTCCTCATGTATGTTACAGATTTTGGCCATTTATTGAAAGAGTTAATTTTTTAGGTGGAAACAAAACAAAATAAACTTTTTACCAAAGGTTCTGTCTCATTCCATACCGTCGCAACATAATGACATTTTCAACAAATATTTAACTAATTTTTTAAAATAAAAGTTACATACTGCAGCTTTAAAGTAGTTGGTTTGTCAGGGTTTTAGGGATTATTTTCCCTAAAACCAATGTTGGTGTTTCTCTGCATCTTGCTAAAGAACATTTAACCAGAGGTTAGTGGTTGTGTGTGTGAATATATTGGAAAATCCACAATATATTCATATTTGTTCTCAATTCTAGCTCTTAAAAAGCAATTAAGGTATTTGCTGCATATTTACCAAGTCATGTTTTTTGACCAGCATGTCATCGTTCCTTAGCCGAGCTCTTTGATCCAGTCTCCTTTATCCGAGATCCGGCCTCTGCTGAAAGCCAAAAGGAAAAAAGTGACTCGGCCTCCCTCTAAGATTCCAAGATGTCTGACTCTGGACAGCTTCCTGGAATGAAGTCGGGACATTTGGGGGGAGAAACAAATCATTGGTGCTGCTGTGGCCCAGGGGGTGGGAGGGTACGGGTCAGGCAGCAGAACTTTGTAATTACTTTATTTAAAAAACAGGAAAATGCACCAAACAAAACAACAAATGCTGCCTTTATTTTTTTTAACATCAACATGTCTGATGTATATAGTCTTTTTTTTTTGTTGTGTTGAGATGAATTTGTACTCAGTCTGTCCTGAAGGCGCTTCTGACTAGACGCATTATTGTCTGAGTTTTTTATTTTCCCATTTTCAGCTTATTTTTACGGCATTATGTCATAAAGATTCACATTTAGATTAATTATGTTATGTTTGTGTCAACCATCCCAAAAATAAACCTTTTTGTTTTATTTTGGCTTGGGTCCGTTTCTTTTCCTAATATTTGTACTAAGCGGTGCTCTCCAGCAGAGGGCAGTACAAACTATCGCATTTATTTCTTTAACATTATGCGTCTATTGATCTTTTGTAGTATTGTTTTTTTACTTATGGAACTGAAATTTGAATTTTCATAGCTGTAAGCCATAATAATTCAACTTAAATAGTTTCTTTTCTAATTGAAGAACAACCTGCAAACTTTTTGTGATGTAAACATGAATTAAGTGAAGGTAGCTGCTCAGTTCTGATGGGATTCGATTAGTTGAAGTGATGTAACATTACACCAGAGTAAACCATGTTTCAGGTGAAGGTTCAAAAACCAGCAGGATTTGCTAACTGGTGTGCTAACGCTGCTGTTAGCAGTACAAGCCAATACCATTTTATTTTTACCACTAAACAAAAGAAAGGCAATGATTTTCAATTTTGAGGATAAGATTAGGTACAAAAAAAAATTCCAACTCTGGAGTAAAACACGTTTGAATTCTCTGTTACCTTTTTGCGCTTCAAAAAAAAAAAAAAAAAGGACCGCAAACCTACAGACCATCCTTCAAACAAAGAAGCACCACTAACGGGTAAAAATGTTTTCTTTAGTTTGGTGAAACAAGAAAGTGAAAAAGTTCAAGTCGTGCTCCTTAACTATTTACTTTGTCTATTGTAAAAAAAAAAAGTAAACATCCTGAGATGAATGAAACTTACAAAGGAAACTAAAACAGGTCTATTAGGCGAACATGAGCTCGTATTGATTCAGTGTCATTTTAATCATTCCCAACATTTCCTCGAACATATTTTCACAGTGATGAAGGCCGATCGGCTGCGCTCTGGCAGCTTCCCAGTCGGGAGTCGTATAGCTGCCACGCAGCCTGACCTTTTCACAGAATGCTTCATATTTTCACAAACAATATGGGGAAATACCAAACATTGTCTTCCAGAATGCTGATGTAAGAGTACCAGGTAGAGAACAAACATCCTGCTCACAATCACCCACGTCCTGTTTGTGCCCCTAAATGTCGTTTCCACCTAAAAACAAATTAGGTTGTCTCATTATTACATTAGTAAAAAAAAACAAATAAATATTGCGTGACATAAGCGACTGGCTATTGAAACCAGCAGCGATTCAGATATATTGATATGTTTTAAATCTCTCTCCCTCCAGTGTGATAAGAGATGGTCATCCCTCATAAACAATGTGTGAAACATTCCTAATAAACACATAAAACACATAAACCATGCAGTGCTTCAGGAGCCGCTTGGTCCCAACGGCTTCCACTAACGATGTAAATCTTCCTGTAGGACAAAGGAAAATGCTTTTCTTTCTCCTAAGAAGTATTTCCGAAGGAGCGTTAAAACTCCTAAACACCTCCATTGAGCTGAGGTATAAGGACAGTCCTGCTGAGACATTTATGTCCACCAATCGTAGGCATGGATCTATTAATTAAGGGCTTTTAGAGACACATTTAAACCGTTCTTTAATCCAAACAGCATATATGTATTTTTTTGAAATAGAAATTAGTTGTGATTTTTTTGTTCTCCACAAAGGGTGAAAATTATAAATATAGGTTCATATATGTAGAAATAATTTTGAAACAGATTTTCTACTTGAGGCACAAGTTGCAGTTGGATGTTTGATCATTGACGTAGGAGGACTAGATCAAGATCCTTGAACTTCACAGCTAGTCACCTGAAACTTGGTCACCTGTGGATGTTCCAACAGGACACTGATCCCAAACGCATTACAACTAGAGCTGCACTGACTCAACTTTTCCAGTCGATCGCCTATCTTTTAAAAAGCCTGACCCGTCGATTCCAATTTTGGCCAATACGGGTTTTTTTTTTTGTCTTAAAAGTTGGTAAATAAAGCAACAAAGTCACGTCGTCGACGATGTGTGGATGTGACCTGGTAGAAGATCTCTCAGTTTGCAATTTAAATGAGTTGATCATTCCTAAGAAGAAGAAAAAGAAGAGGAAGAAGAAGAAAAAGAAGAGGAAGAGGAAGAAGAGTGGTGAAATATCCATGCAGAATTATGCCAGAATTCTGCTGATCACCTCAAAAAGCATGCGGTTTCTCTGCTGTGTGCTGAAGGACATTTACTCAAATATGGGAGGATGTTTACGTACGTATTTGAGCTTCTGCGTCTCATTTTGTCCTTTTTTGAATTAGAAAATCAACAGTGAATCCAAACTTGTGCACCAATTTCATATTTTTGAAAATGTAATTAACCTATTGTATAAATAATGTGCAACAATAAAAGCCCAAAAATGAATGCAACATCCATAACCATGATGAGTGTGTGCAAATTTTAGACTGGAGCTGCAGGTGGATAAAGGAGCATAAAAAAATCTGTTGTTTTTCCATTTGATTCAAGATGGCTCAGTATCGTTACAGTCCTTATGTGTGTGAGTGTTAGTTTCTCCTTTGTTTCCATGTTTCCCTCCAGGTTGAATAAAGTTTTATAAACCTCCACATTTGCTGGTAGTTTGGTTCCACAACTCAAGGACAGAAACAGACACTCAGATGTTTCCACCTCTAAATGTCCCCCCGTCGTGTCACTGAGACCTGTCCGGCTCCATCTTGGACTCTCCGTTCTGCTTGTCGTTGACCTTCTGGGACAGGCGCGTGGACACGGTGGCCGCCTGGACCACGGCTTTGAAGCTGCGCTTCCTCTTCTGGACGTTCTGCTCCGGGTGGAAGATGATGACGTAGACCTTGGGGATGTAGAGCATGCCAAGGGACACGGTGGCGCTCAGGCTCATGGAGACGGTCAAGGTGGTGGTCTGGATGAACATCTAGAGACAGAGAAACACACAGGAGGTGAGAAACACAAGCAGCGGAGCTGGGAACAACGATAAGGTTCAGGAGTACAAGTTGTCTTATTTATTTATTTCATTTTAAACCACAGCGGCCAGTGTTCCCTGATGAATGGTTTATGTCTACGTAGATGTAGTCTGGAGAAGATATCCCATTTCTGGGTTTTCACAACATTTCCTTTTCGCTGTTAACTCTTCTACAAAAAAATATGGCAAAAATAATCAAAAAGTACGACAGAGTACTACGGCCATACTAAGATAAAACGAGAATAAAGTTGTACTACAAGAATAAAGTCTAAATAACACGAGAAAAACTTTGCAATAGGAGAAAAGTCAATATTTTGAGAATAAAGTCGTAATATTATGAGTTTATTTTCGTAATACTATTCTCATACTGTTGGCTTTATTCTCAGAATTTCATTCTTTTTAGTTTTATTTTTTTAGTGTGGGTCCGTCGCAAAAAGTACCAATAACATGTGAAATTATATATATATATATATATATATATATATATATATATATATATATATATATATATATATATATATATATATATATACATAACAATTTTTTTATCTGTCAAGGCAAAAAAAAAAAAAAAAAAAAAAAAAAAAAAAAAAACTTGCCCCAAAAAAAAAAAAAC